AGATGGCCGCGCCCATGGAGGTGGCCGTGTGTACGGACTCGGCGGCCCAGCTGTGGAGCTGCGTGGTGTGGGAGCTGCACTCGGGCGCCAACCTGCTCACCTACCGCGGCGGCCAGGCCGGGCCCCGGGGGCTGGCGCTGCTCAACGGCGAGTACCTGCTGGCGGCGCAGCTGGGCAAGAACTACATCAGCGCCTGGGAGCTGCAGCGCAAGGTCGGGCGCGGGGCGCGGGCCCCCCAAAAGGACGCCGCCGCCTGTGTCCTGTGCTGTGTCTGCCCCCCCCCCCCCCCCCCCGCCCCTCCGGTCCCCTCCGGCCCCTCCGGTGACGGGGCCCAGTGCTCCGCAGCTCACGGCCTGTCCTGTGTCCTTAGGACCAGCTCCAGCAGAAGATCATGTGCCCCGGGCCGGTCACCTGTCTGACCACGTCGCCCAACGGCCTCTACGTCCTGGCCGGCATTGCCGAAAGCATCTACCTGTGGGAGGTAAGCCGGTTCCCCGCAGAGCACCAGGTGAGGCTCAGGAGGCCATTCAGGGCTCAGTGCTTCCTCCTGCCTCCTGCCTCCGGGTCCCCTCGAAACAGACCCTGCTTTTAAGTGGCAGCTCCGCCCTTCAGGGCCAGCCGGGAGGACACGGAGACAGCGCCGGTCCTCAGCCCAGCTCCCGCAGGGCCCATAGTTTCCGTGGAGGGCCCAGTGCTCCGGGAGGCAGCCTGGGGAGCCCGGTCACCCCACATCCCGCTCTGCTGCTTCATCCCAAGATCTGGGCACACACACACACACACACACACACGCTCGGTGTTGCTCATCCGGCTGAACACTGGTGGAGGGATGGTCTGTCTGTGCCTGCAACCCGCCCTTGGAGAGAAGTCCTGACCACAAGAGAGCGCCCCGCATGACCAGCCAGGGGCGCCCTGGCAGACCTGCTGCCAAAATCCCGCCCTCCCCCATGGACACACGTGGGCCTGGCGTCCTAGAGCAGGGGCAGAGCCGTGGGCTGTGACAGCTGGCCCTGACCCTGATGCCGCCCAGGTCTCCACCGGGAACCTCCTGGTCATCCTGAACCGACACTACCAGGACGTGTCCTGCCTGCAGTTCACGGGGGACAGCAGCCACCTCGTCTCGGGGGGCAAGGACTGCCTGGTGCTGGCCTGGAGCCTCTGCAGGTAGTGCTGGCGAGCGTTGGGGCTGTGGGAGGACAGCGGTCCCGAGGGGCTCAGCTTCTGAGACCCGCCCCTCCTCCACAGCGTGCTGCAGGTGGGCACCTCCAGGATCCCAGCCCCCCGGCATGTCTGGTCCCTGCACACGCTCCCCATCACAGACCTGCACTGCGGCTTCGGGGGCCCGCTGGCCCGGGTGGCCACCGCCTCTCTGGACCAGACGGTGAAGGTAGAGCCCCCGCCCACCCATCCCTCTGGGCACTGGGTGCCCATGGGGCCAAGCCTGAGGGGGGCTCTCTGGGGGCCGGCCCGCCGCGTCCCTCCCAGCGGAGCCCCCTGCCCGCAGCTGTGGGAGCTCTCCTCGGGGGACCTGCTGCTGTCGGTGCTCTTCGACGTGAGCATCATGGCAGTCACCATGGACCTGGCCGAGTACCACTTGTTCTGCGGTGGCAGCGACGGCTCCATCTTCCAGGTGGACCTCTGCGCGGTGAGTGAGCCGGCCCCCGGGCGGTGGCCCCTGGCCGGCAGCAACTGTCCTTGACGCTCAGGCCCATGTTGCCCCCGCAGCCTGGGCAGAGGGAGAGGAGCTTCCAGCCGGAGCAGGACCCCGGGACGGCCATGCCAGGAGACAGGTGTGC